GGGGGGGGGGGGAGGGGGGGCGAGGGGGAGCATGTTATATTATTTTTTGAGCTTTTCTTTTCTTTCAGGGTCATTGGGATAGCAGGTTTCTTGATTGCGTCCTGTGATTGGATATAGACACAGCCGGGTATACAAAGAAAGCAGGCGAGATGTTCATGCGAGTGTCATGTATTTTCTGAAGTACAGTAGTTTACCAGCCCCCTTATTTCTGAGCCATCAAGTGCCAACCCTGCATCGTTCAAACAGCATTACAGCAACATTTTTCAAGATTTAAAAAATAACAATAATTCAAAATATAGTGCTGTTTCCTGGAGTATCGGCTTCAGATTTTGTATTCCCTCTGACGCCCTGCTTTCAAATCGTCTCTTCTTTTATGAATGTGCGAAACTATTCAGGAAGAAAAACTCCCATGTTGATTATGCATCACCGGGGCCAGGCGACAACAGTACTCGCTGCCACACTCCAACAATGATCACGTTGCTTGAAGATGAGCTGCAAAGCGTAAGTCGTCTGTTACTTGAGTTTTGCCCAATGGGCATGGCTGATTCGTGAGAAAAAGGTCAGCCAGGGCAGGGAAGTGTCGCTAATGGTTTTTAGGGAATTACAAGAAGAAATGGAGGAGGAACTTTGCATTGCTTCACCACAAGTTTGGGCAGTAATTTCTTACCAACATCTAGACAAAATAAGTAAATTCCTTTCTGATAATAGAGATGGTCAATTTTAATTAAATTTAATTCAGCAGAGTTATTAAACACACTTTTTAAGTTATGAAAACACGAAAGAAAAAAAAATCTTAGGTCAGATTAGAGTAACACAAAAAGTTAAACCTCCTATTCATTATAGACAAATTGTCAACTCCAACATAAAAATGATGCTTTGTTTTATTTTTAATATTAAATTATTGTATAAAAAGTTAATAGATGATGTAACTTGGGGCCTACTTTTCATATTTAAATAAGTACTTATCAACCTATAGTACAAATTCAGTAGGGAGAGTCGGGGCACAGTGGATCATAATTTTTTTTTAATATTCAAAAAAGTTTTCAGATATTTTATGGTTGTATGTTCACATTGATTGTATTACATCATAGACACGGATATGAATCCTTAAAATGTGGCTAATGTAAAAATATAATATACTTGCTCACAGATCGTTTCAAAGTGTGCAGGGGTAAGTGATAGTTCGACAATAATATAGGTTATGGTCTACCGACTACCAGTTATCTGTAATTAATACTACAATAAGTAGGAAATGGTATATACATTTTATTTGAAGCTTAGCTACTACTAGGCATGAATATTGCAGGCTTATCTCTTGCAAAACGCTGTCGATTCGCCCTATATTCTATATTATATGAATGAAAGTAATGGAAGCCTATTAAGCCCCAGTCCGGGGTCCACTGAGCCTCGAGGGCCCTACTAGGAAAAGTGCCCACTTTCCCGTCCTTGCTCAATGCATAAACCGACCCAATATGCAAATAGGTTCAGTTCAGTCAAGTAATAAAAAAAAAAATTTTTTTAAAGTTATTCAGTACTCAATAAGCTTAATATGGGGCATTACTCTTATTGAAACTTTTACCGACGGAAGTGGATTTATTATGCTTGTCTAACTCATCGAAGCATCGAAACAAAATTTGAAAAGGTGAAAGTTCAGACGAGTGCCAACTTACCTATCAACCAATACTAAACTGGAATTCAGCCGAGGGATTGGTCTCTCGTGTGATTCTAGCTAATAATTTTCACACCCACCACAATTTTCCCAGTTCTTTGGAATTTAGGCACGGCCCAAGATACTACTCTACATAGGCATAGGCCTATATTATTCTATTTTATATTACATTCATGATTCATAAGGCAAGGATAGTCTACACTACAGTACACAATCTACATATTTTAATTCATATTTATTTAGATATTTTTGTATAGTATTAATTATTAATTAGTATCGTGTTCAGTTAGAGCTTTCACTTTCTTGTTCAGTATTAAGAAGTATTAGTATTGCTATATATATTTTAATATTTATAGTGACAAAATGTAGTTAAGTTAAATAGTAACAGATACATGATACACACTAACTTGACAAACTTAGTAAGTAAAAGTAAAGGAGACCCAACATCATATGAGTCATAGTACCATTTATAATTTAGTATAGACTATAGAACTGTATAGGCTAGTTTAGTAGTACTCAACTTATCATGGCTTATAATAGAACAACTCTTTTTTTCATGAATGTCACTACTGACAAAACTTGTTTGGGAACTGCTTTAAGTTTAAAAGTTCTCCATGTTATGGTATGATTTATCATTTAGCACAGCCGTAGCATATTCATATTTATTGAATTGGTAGTGGTTTCTTTCGTTAATAAAAATTTTAAATATAAATTAAAGAAGAAAGCTATTTTTGAAAATAAACATAATAATAATGTCTACTGATAATGATATTAATTATTAATATGTAATTAAGTGGGTTATTTTGCTTCAATATATAAATATAAGTTAATAATTTAAATATACTTTAAGGCCAAGACAAGTTGTGTTACATTTCATTTTAAACTAAGAATATAATATGTGGAGTCTTAAATATTCAATTTGTATCTGATCTAGAGTCTAAAGTAAGTCAAAGTGAGTGTGTTCTGGTTTGGACAAAACAGTAAATGATAATAAATGTAAATTATTTGCGAAGGAACTGCTAGATCTTTTAATATTTAATGTTTTGATGGATTCTCTAAGTATAAAATAGATGTGAGACAATGAATACTCAAGTCAATAATAATACCGGTACTTAGTTAAATAGGCCGAGTCAGCGGTCAACAATGCATACTAAACTAACTACATTATTGCAGATAAGACCTTTGCCAGGCTTTGCATAGCTTTTTTGTCTGATGATGAAAACCATTTAAATAAAAAAGATAACATCAAGAACTTAAAAAAATATATATATAACTTTTAGAAGTTAAGGAGAATTATCAGAATTATGGAACTGCAAAATTCAATGTGATTTATCATCTTATCCGAAAAATGTGCAGATGGTGAGTATTTTTGTATTTTAAGGTTTGTTGTTTATTAAGTTAATAAATAATTATTTATTAAATTAATTCCACACTACGAAAATAAAAACAATATATTTTTGTCTCATTTAGTAGAATAATAGATGCTTCTTTGTCGTAGTGCTTAGGAGAACATTTTTAATAATCTTTTTATCATACAATTTTCAATATAGGAGAAACAGACCACTTTTGAGTTTAAGTCAATTGTTAAAAATTGAATGATTTGACATTAGTATTAGTGATGTTTGAGATTATTATTGTAATTACATGGCAAGTCCTGTAACTTTTTAAAATCTGACTCATGGCTATGCATTTACCAGGTATGCACGGATACTGTCCCACTATCCATATGTCATAGTTCTGATTGTACTTATGGTAGTGGCTGCATGTTTGGTTCTCACTTTCACTGTTGGACATGACATCAACTTTGATGATCCCTTGCTTGTAAGTGCTGAAGTTTCTCTTTAAAAAAAAACACCCAAAAAAAAAAACACCCCAAAAAAAAAAAAAAATTTCAAACCCAAATATAATCTTCTGATGACGTGGATTTGTTGTAATAAATAAAACTGAATGCTTTGGTTTTTGTGGGTTTTTTAAATTTTCTTTATCAAACTATAACAAGGTAAACTTCATAGATTTTTTATAAATTTAATTTTCTCTTATTTATAAAAAAAAATTATATCAGGAACGCCATTTTAAACCAAAAAAAATTAATAAATAAACAAATTGAATGCAAAACATTTTTTTGTCATGAAAGAGAAAGCACAATTGTGGCCGTAAAAAATACAAACCGTAAATTGGTTTTCAAATACAGCTTGAACATTTTTGTCATCATATTTCTGTCTGAATCATCTAATTACCAATATTTTAAAATTTGACTAAAACACAATTTCTTTCGCCAAGTTCTTGATTGCAAGAGGCTTAATTAATATGAAGTTTAAGAAGTCAATTGACGCTAACTGTAATTAATCAGGTGCACGGGAATAATCTAGAAATTACTTAAATTTTGTTTTATAATTATGAAACAATGGCTTGGAATTTGGAATACGATAATGATCTTTCTCTTTATTTACCTAGGGTTTTGAACCTCGGGGAACTGAACTAGCTGATCGTCTGCTGACATTTGAGAATCTTCTGAAGAATAGTGAAGGTCATGCAAACCTTCTGCCTCACTGTCCCAAGCAAGATTGTGAGAGCTCAGTTCAGCTTAAAGCAAATGCTCGCAGCACAAGCTCTCATTCAGCAGATTATGATGTCAAAGGCAGACTCACGCCATCAAGATCTCAGCAGTCGACCATTCCAAACCATAGAACAAAACGCAGGGAAGAAAATGAAACCAAAAGAAATATATTTTGTGGTGTTCCAGGTCAGTTTTAAAACTACTTGATAGTACCATATTTAACATTACAGTTTTAAACATGCTTGATACACATACATACCCCAACTGTATAAGACCTGGAATTTTTCACCCTAGCTTCAAGCCATTATTCGATTTCTAATTTTTTAACCATAGTACCATAAAAAATTCCTTAAAAGTGTCTTAGGAGCTTGTACAAAAAATTTAATTTATATTATTACTTAGTATTTTAGACAAACCCATGAAGCTCAGTTGAAAATTTGTTGCGTCATTTCCTTCACAGATAAGAGCTACTCAAGGGTCATTGTAACCTCTGCTCATGACCGGAGTTTGTTCAATTTGGAAGATCTGATTGCCATGTGTCAACTTGAAGACAGTTACTTTGGTGAGTCCATCACTTACCCCGATCTTTGCGTCAAGAAAGAAACTGACGGGTCATGCTGCACGGCATGGTCGATTGGAAGCTACATCTCAATTCTAAGGAATAAATCATCATGCGCTAACATTACTGCTGATGATGTTGCCGCGGTTCATCAGCTTCTGGCCATCTGTGCCCCATTTTTTCGTAACCACACCCTGAAGCACAACTGCGATAGTGAAGATGAAGAATGGTACTTCAACCAGAACTACCCTCCCTCTATCTGTCACAATGTGCCTGAGCCATGTCAAAAATACAACGCTGTTTATCACATTTTTCACTATCTCTCAGATTCTAGTTTTATATTTTCTGGCAAGTCTCTAAAACAGCCCATCTCACCGGGGAGCTCAGAAATGTTTTTGAAATATTCTGCTATATTTTTTCCATTGCCCTGTGGCCCTAAAGCAGTGGATGTTTTCCAAAATATTGACAAAATGCCAAGAAGCTTTAGAAGCATAAGTGTCGTTGGAGCAAATTTTGATGTCAAATACGCCCTGTTTGAAAAGTATTTGATATCAGACTCAGCGTGGCTTGGTGCTGCCTGTGCAGTAATATTTGTTGCGATGTGGATCTACACAACGTCTATATTCATAACAGTCATGGCCTTTCTCTCCATGTTCTGGGCAGTGGAGGTGGCTTATGTTCTGTACACGTTCGTCTTCAAGATCAAGTTCTTCCCTTACATGAACATGGTGACCTTGATAGTTATGGTTGGCATCGGCGCCGACGATTTGTTCATCTACTGCAAAGTCTGGCGCCTGGCCAAGTCGGAAAAAAACAATGGCATTTTGGAGAAAATTGTCGGGGACACGCTTCGCCACACAACTCTGTCCATGCTGGTCACGAGCCTTACTACAGCAGCCGCGTTTTATGCTAACTACATCAGTGACATCACTGCCATTCGTTGTTTTAGTGTTTTTGCAGGCACCTGCATTGTGATTAATTTTATCTTAACTGTGACCTGGTTGCCAGCATCGATCATACTCCATGAAAAGTGGCTTCACTGCTGTGTTGGCCTGAGTGATAAGAAATCTAGTATTTTCTACTGTTTTTGTAAGGTACCCTACAGGGTGTACTACCTCATCTGTGATTGGTCAAGGATATTCTTTGAAAAACTGCTCCCGTGCCTTGTTATAAAATTTCGTTATGTTTGGTTGATAACATTTGGAGTGCTGTGGATAGGTAGCATTGTTGTTATTTTTTTTTACCCGCGACTGAGACTTCCGAATTCTCGTAAATTTCAGGTCTTTGCCTCTGATCATTTGTTGGAACGTTATGATTTTGAGCTCAGTGATTTGTTTGAGTTTGAACTTGTGAAAGATCACGATGATAGGGCGGAGTTTCCTATAACCATAGTTTGGGGGGTGCTGACTAAAGACAATGGGGATCCTTTAGACCCAAATAATAAAGGAACATTAACCCTGGATCCAGAATTTGATTTGACATCACCAGGTGCCCAGCGTTGGATCTTAGAGTTTTGTTCACGGCTGCGTCGCACAGAGTTCTTCCTTCAGTCTCCTGGCCTTTCACTGACTGACTGCTTCTTGGAGAACTTTGTCCGCAGATACATGAAGCAGCCCTGTGATAAACTCAACACAGAATGCTGTAACCAGACGGCGTTTCCTTTTCACAAGTCAAAAATGTTGTCATGTTTGTCCACTTACATTCCTTATCTGAACAAAACACCAACGGTCAGTTACAGCTACAAGTCCCCGGGACCAAGGTTTAACAATGGAGAGATAAGTGCTTTTTTCGTTCAATTCAGGAGTAACCTCACACACAGCTTATCATACGAGGAGGTCCATTCTTTTTACTTGAGGGTCAATCAGTGGGTGACAGAAGAGTTACTAGGGGCTCCACCTGAGATGAGGCGTGGCTGGTTTGTTAGTGATTTCCACTTCTATGATCTGCAGTCGTCTCTTGCTATGGGGACTCCGCTGGCCTTGGGAGTCTCTCTATCGGTTGTGGCAGTAGTTTCCTTTTTTACTACTTTGAATGTACTTGTTAGCATTTTTGCTCTGTTGGCAGTGGGTGCCGCCATCTCTGTAACACTTGCTGCTTTGGTGCTTATGAACTGGGAGCTGGATGTATTGGAATCAGTTGTCATCACTATTGCCATAGGCTTGGCTGTTGATCTAACACTTCACTACGGGGTTGCATTTAGGCTTACCACAGAATATGGCAGAGAAATGAGAGTCATCACTTCACTGGGTCGCATGGGCAGCCCGGTTGCCATGGCAACGTTCACCACAATGATGGCTGGTGCTCTCATCATGCCATCCACGGTTTTAGCCTACAAAAAGTTTGGAACGTTTTTACTGTTGCTGGCAAGTGTGGCCTGGTTATATGCTACATTCTTTTTCCAGGCATTGCTTAGAGTAATGGGGCCTCATGGTGGATGTGGTCAGTTTCACTGGCCCGCAAGTGACTGTTGCACTCCAGCATCACGTGAGCATATAGATAAGACCATATATGCCTTGTCAGAATCTACGTTGTCGTCATCAAGCACCAGCACCAGGGAGCACAGCAATTCTCACAGCTACACTTGTAGTCATGAAATGGAACCCCTCACTCAAAGAGACCACCACCACCACCCCAGGTGTCATCATCATCATGGACACTCCGGCCAGTCCTACAACTCTGATACTGACCCACACCGGCATCAGCAGCGTTTAAATCCCATTCACCACCACCACCAGCACCACCGCTCTCGCCGAAAGAGTGACTACACGGCGGTTAGGACAAATGCTAAGATCCTCAGCCCTAGCACTTGTGTGCGGCAAAAACAAGATTTCCTGATACCGAGCACCAGCTCTGAGTCTACGCCAGCCTCGCCTAGTGACAACAATACACTGAGTGTTCCATCAGATTCACCTGCCTCAGGTCAGTCCACCACTGAACTGTCATCCGATTTGTCAGATTATGACAACAAGGCTGCGGGGAGTGACAGTGACAATGTCATTAGTGAGACTACTCAGGTGCAAATTGAAAAACTTCCTTGTTCAGTGCTGCTGCCAGTTGCCTAAGAAATGTAATACTGCTGTAATGGAGTAAAGCTGCTTATCAACATAATACAACTTAATATTTAAACTAACAGTAAATTCTGTAATAACATACATTTTATTTTTCTGGCCTAATAAATTAAAAATGTGATCCAATAGAACTTTATATGAAACTTTAAACACTTTTACAACATCTGTTAAATTAATTGCTTGTTTTAAAAATGAATACTCACAACATTAGGTTAACGAATATGTACAAGGACAGTGGTGCAGTGTTTACTTTTTACGAACAAATGTGCTTTAGAAAAATGTATTATAAACTTACATGACATGAAACTATACCAGACAGATTTTTAATGTCACTTTGTGAAAATTACATTTTTTTAATTGAAACTGAAAATCTCAAGTAATATTCCTATTATTTTCAAACTCAATACAGTGGAACCTCTCATAACGAGTTTAATTTGTTCCAGAATCTTACTCGCTATGCGAAACACTTGTTAAACTAAACAATTTTTCCCGTACAAATCAATGTAAAATACGATAATGCGTTCCAGTTCCATGCTGAAAAAATACTAATTTTTCAAAAAATTTTATTAACATTTATTCAAATAAAATTACTTATGAATTGTTAAGGAGTGTAACAACTTGGAATACAATTTAGATTTGAAACAAAAAACGTAATTAAAATTATGAATTTATGACAAATAATTAATCCTTTTTAACTAGGAAACTGTCTATTTGTTTTTGCCGACGCTTCAAAATTTGACGAAAATGTGTCACAGCATTATCATTGAATAAATTTGTAGCACGAATAGCCACGCTCACACCTTGTTCTCGCTTTGCAATGATTTTACATTTCATTTCAACAGTTATTTTTTCTCTTTTATGATTGTCTTCTTGTGTTTTTTTTTCGAAGACATTTTAGTATAGGTTATGACACTTTGCACATAAAAAAATTACGAATGCTGTCTGAATACAAAATTTGTAAAAACTGGTGATCAGACACAGACTAATGCAATGATTCTCAACCTTCCTAGTGCAGCGACCCTTTAATACAGTTTCTCGTGTCTTGGCAACCCCCCAAGCAACCTAATTATTTTCGTTGCTACTTCATAGCTGTAACAATATGTGTTTTCAGATAGTCTAAGGCGACCCCTGGGAAAGGGCCGCGCTACCCCCAAAGGGGTCACAACCCACAGATTGAGAACCGCTGGACTAATGCATCTGCGCGGAAGCCCCTGCTCACAAATTAATGTCAGGAAAAAAGGGACTTCCCCTTTCTGCGTAACTTGTTATGCGAAATATCACTCGTTAATGGAGCAACTTCACATTTTTTTTTGCTCGTTATGAGAGGTTCTACTGTATTTGATTTTAGTATTTAAGCATTAAATGGATTATATTCATTTTTGCCTGTGACTTAAGATCTAATACTCATTTTGTTTTAGATGATTGTCTTGCGACCATTTTACATTTTAAATTCTCATTAGGGTTTGTTAAACACATTTCACTGGTTAACATTTTTGTTTTATGGGATACTTAAAAACAAAAGAAAAAAAGCAGCTGCAATTAAAAGATTGTTGTTGCTTTTTTTTTTTTTTTTAAGAAATTTTTTGGCCGAGTGCAATAAAATGAAATTCATTTCAATTTCTAAAAATGAGATGGTGTTATGGTTTTGAAAGGAATGAAAAACCTATGTGATATCTTTTCGCTTATTAACAATATGAAATTTTTAACAATAGTTTTTTCACTATGAGAATATACAAATAGCACCTTCGCTTTGGAATTTTATATCAGCACAGGCAGTGATATTACATACTCTTATTTTAATTCTTCATTCATAGTTAGGATTACACTCTCATGTTGAGGTTGAGGATTCATGATATGTGCTGTTTTTTTTAATATTATATTATTATTTTTATATAGGCCTAATTGAATGCCAGAGTGAATTCGTGTTGTAAATAAAGATTATAGGTGTAACATTGCACTACAGGTAGTGTGTTATAAAACATTAAAATTTTAGATTGAGTAGTCTCTAAAGATTGTAATAATTTTTATCATACCATTAATTTCCAATAAATAATTTGATTTTTAATCAAATTAAATGATTTTTTTTTTTTCAAAACTTGGTTTACTTGGATATTGTAATGTAGAAAAAAAAAACACCCAAAAAAAATCAACTTCAGTTACGGATAAACTTTTATTTATTAATTTTCAATAAATAATTTGATTTTTAATCAAATTAAATGATTTTTTTTTTTTCAAAACTTGGTTTACTTGGATATTGTAATGTAGAAAAAAAAAACACCCAAAAAAAAGCAACTTCAGTTACGGATAAACTGTTATTTGCAGAATGAAAAAGGTGGTAATACCATATTTTTGGCATTGCAAGTCCAATGTAATTGATTTTTTTTTAAACATTTGTTTTTAAAACGTTGATTTTCAGTGTCCATTTTAACTTACTGCTTAAAATCTTCCAATTTATTATTTTTTTTATTCTCTCTGCTTCCATAGTCTGTTAGTTCAATTAGATAATTGTACATCTTTGTTTATAAAAAATTTATTTTGAATGTCCATATTATAAATTAAACCTACTTTTTATAGATTCAGTGCAGCAACATTTAAGAAAATACACTAGGAACAACTTGGATACCTACACATTTCATGTTAGTATTTTTCCTACTGCAAACATGAGTGGAAAAGTTTTATGCTTGGTCTCTGGGCAATACTAAAATTGTGAAAAAGCTAATTAATTATAAATCTATTCAATAATAAAAAGTTGAAACAGTTAATTAGTTATAAACCTTTCCAATAATAAAATTGTGCAAAATTTAAATAATTATAAACCTATCCCATAATAAAATTGTGATAAGATAATTTTATTTATTATAAATCTATCCTACACATTAGTTTGTACTGTGAGTTTTGTCTGTGATTGAGGCTCCAGAATTTTTAAAACTTCAACAAAGAAAATAAAAATTTACCAAGAATATTATCATTGTACAGCTGAAATGATGTGCAGATTGTAATATTTATGATTAGGGTTATCTTTTCTTAAGTTTGTTCATGGCTTAAATTTTTTTAAAAACAAAATCAGGTTTATTAAATAATCTCCACACCCACTTACAATATACAAAGCATTTTTAAACAGGAAAACTGTTACTCAGGAATACATTTATTATTATCATTATTATTATCAAATTCTTCCAGGTACAAATATTAACTTTTTATTGATGTGAAGAATAATGGACAGATGCATATAAAGAAATTGTGTGAATGTTATATCATCAATAAACAAGTTGTTGTATAGATTTGAATTTGATTGCAACAGTACAACATTATCTACTTTCAGATCAGTAGTTGAGAAGATGTATTGTGTTCCTTAAGAGTTGTCCATGGCTAAGTTTAATAGGATTCATCAATCTAATTGAAGCTGGCAGCTTACAACTCCTTTAATAATCAAAGCATGTTAAATTGTGTTTTTTTGTTGTGTTTTTTTGTTGTGTTTTTTTTTGTTAAAAAGAGTGGAACATTTAACATCAAGTAATAAAAAGGTTGCGTAGTGCACAATATATGTTAAAATTCAATGTACTCCACCGGTTCTTGATTATAAATATTTTGTTTTTAAGCATGTTAGTTGCTACAGACTTCGTAGCAGTTGCTGTCCTTGAGGTTTTAGAAAGGGCTTGATTGCAGCAATTACAGAAGTTTGCACCATAACCTCCTCACAAAATGTCTTTGAACGGTGAAATAAAAGGTACATTTTTTAAAATATTTTTTTTGCTGTGAACGAAAATAATTTTCATTACTTTTTTAAATTTTATATTTTTTTGCTTTTATTTAAAGCCACACCCTTATTTAACTTTACTTTATCTAGAGAAAGTAACATTGAGAGAGTGGCTAAAAAGTATTTTATTTCTAGTTTATTTGATTAAAATATGTTATGTGCAACAGTTTTGAGCGGAAAGATTTGTTGAGCTGTTTGTTTTTTTTTAATTACTCTGACTCTATTTCTAAATTAAAATAGAAAGAAAAGTTCATATACAGTGTGGGCCAATAAAAGTGAGAACATCTCATAAAATATTACGCTACGAGATGTTCTCACTTTTATTGGCCCACCCTGTAGAATTTCATGAACTCACAATATTAGCACAAGTTCACCATTTCGTTACTTGCTGGAAATTATTTAAAACGTTTAATAATTTAGTTTATTTTAGGTGTTTTCAGCTCCCTGTAGTATTCACCATATGTTGTGTGTAGTATAAAATTAAATTATATTTTAACCGATCCCTGTAAAACTTTTTAACAAATGCTTTTGTACTAGATCTAGCCTGAATAACAATAATATAATGCAGTAGAGTGTGCATGTTCTTAAATTACTTGGAGTTTGCTGTAGGTGAGGCTTTTTTTTAAAATTTATGTTGCTTATATTGTAA